TAAATATGGAGGGGCCCTGTGAGAAGGGATGTGGGTGGCCTTAGTGAGCTGAGAGAAGTCCCTGGCTGACAGTCAGCAAAGGAATGGAGACATCTAGCCTGCAGGTACAAAGAACTGGATTCTGCCAACAACTGAATGAGCTTGGAAGCGGATTCTTTTCCAGAGCCTCCAGAAAGGAATGCAGCCCTGCCAATAGCTTGGTTTTAGCCTTGTGAGGGCCTGAGCAGAGAACCCAGCCATCCTGTGTTGGACTCCGACCTACAGAACTGTGAGCTCATAAATAGATGTTGTTTTAAGCTGCCATGTTTGTGGCAATTTGTTACACAGCAATAGGAAACTAACACCCTAGTTCACTTTGTAGACCCTCGACCCTAGTGAGCCAGACTTGGCTTGGGCTGGGTTGGAGCTGACTCCCAGGTCTGAGTGTCCTCTGTGCACAACTCTTCTCTTCCTAATCTCTCAGCTTTCTCTCTGGTTTCCTGGAATACAAGAAGCCCTGGCAGCGCCCTGGTTAAGTGCTCGGCTGCTAACCAAAAGGTTGGCGGTTCAAACCCACCCAGCAGCTCTTTGGGGGAAAGACCTGGTGATTTGCTTCTGTAAACAGCCAAGAAAACCTATGGGGCGGTTCTACTTTGTCTTATGGGGTCACTATGAGTTAGAATTGACTCAACGGCACCCAACAACAAGAACATATCTGGAACAGGAACGATAATGCCTCAACCTTCTCTGTCTGGTCTCCTGGAGCCACAACTTACCCTCAGACGTTTCCATCCAAAGCAGCCCTGGCCCCCAGCCCCTGACTAAGGTCAGCAATTGTGAAGGAGGCTGGAACCACTGACAAGCTGCAGAGCTGGCATGTGTCTGCCAGGCCCTAACCTTCCCCTGACCTGCATGCAGCCTTACCTCAGAGGAATGCAGCTGGAAGGAGAGATCCACGGTGGGGGCCTCACCATCTATGGTTTTCAGGTTGGTGTCCTGGGAGAAGGAGGGAGCAGTCAGGCCATGCTGGCTGCTGGCTAGGGCAGCTTCTGTCTCTGTTTCACCCACCATTCTGATTCCCCAGCCAGGTGGCCACTGGGGGCTGTGCCCAGGTGAGGCTGTGAGTGGGGAGCAGGCCTCTGCCTCTGTTTACCCTCACCACCTCCACACCCACCCTTCCCAGCTCCACTGGAGACCTGACTGGCCAAGTCCTCTGAATGACCCCCACAGGTCTAACCACTTCCTGGCAAAAGAGGAAGCTCTCATTTATTGAGATCTTTTGTCAGGATGGCCATACGTGTTTAGGAAAAAAGGCAGTATAGAAATAGACAATGATAATAATGATATTAATTCTACTTGAGAGAATATGTCTAGTTTTGTTCTAAGTGCTTTACCTGTATTTCCTCATAAAATCTCATAGTGACATCCATTTTACAGACAAGGAAACTGAGGCACTGAAACTGAATTTTGCCAAGGTCATGTCAGCTGGTAAGTGGTAGACAGAGAATTTGGCCCCAGACGGCCTATTATCTCCTTATATAAAGAGATCATGTACTGGGCACTTTGCATTTATTTCTCTCACTTATTTATTTCCCCCAAGGGGTTGTTGTTTCAATTTTAGAGATCAGACTCTGAGGCTCAGAGAGGTTAAGTGACTTGTCCCAGGTTCCACAGTGAGGAAGAGGCCAAGGCAAGATTTGAATCCAGGTTTGGCTGGCTGAAGTCTGAGCTCTTGTCACTATCCCACAGGGCTCGCTCTGATTCTCCTCAAGCTGCTCGGGAGCAGTTCCTCTGGCGGGTTCATTACAGGCCCCAGAGCCAAGACTGGAGTCTGGTGTTCCTGGGAGTGCCTCACACCTGACAGTTGTCAGCTTCTCTAGTGGGTGCCCTGGTAGAAGCTGTTCGAGAAGTTAAATTCTCCTATGGAAGTGGGGCAGGGTGGGATGGGGCAGGGACGGTGCAGGCGAGGGACTCACAGTGATGGGGAGCCGCTCCACGCGCAGCGCACTCAGGCCCTTCCCGGCCAGCATTTTGCGGTACAAACGACTCTTGAGCGGCAACACGGAGATGCCCAGGGGCTGGCTGAAGGTCCACGGCTTGCTGCCTTTCACTGAGGGGGAGAAGGAGCAGCTCAGGCTCCTGCCAAAGCCTCCACCCCCTGCTTCTCAGATCCCTGCACCTGCACCCCCCACCCTGGCCCCCACCTTTGATATCGAACGTCTAATTCTCCTATCTCCCACACCCCACGTGCCTTCCTGCCTCCTGGCCTTTCCCTGCCCAAGCGGCCACCTTCTTACCCACTCTTCAGGGCTTGGTGAGTTCAAGGCCAACCCTAAGCATATCTGGTATCTCTGGGTATTGATATGGCTCTCCTTTGTCTCTGGCTTTTGGGGGTTTCAATCCTGTAGTGTGGAGCTTGCTTAGACTGTGGGTCAGCTGGTCTCTGAATCCTGCCTCCTCACTAGGCTGTGAGCTCTGAGTGACCACCCACCCCCCCTCCTCACTGATGGGCACATAGGGGGCACAGTAAAAAAGTATGGCTCTTCCCTAAAAAAAAAGTATGAGCCTATTATGGGAATAGGACCTATTATGGGAATAGGACCTATATTATGGGAATAGGACCCATGCGTCCTGACCTGTGTCCCAGAGCTGTCACTTTGGCAAGGAGGCCAGCCAGGCTCTTCCTACCCCTCTCCCCCCCCACCCCCGTCTGCCCGCACTTGGAACCTGAGACAGTTAACCCATTCCTGCAGAAGGCAGAGGCGGGGATGGTTTGAACATCCTTTCACCCATGTCTTCTGACATGGTGGCTGCCCTTGTAGCACCAGAGGGCACTTACTTGATGACGACGAGTAGTACTCCAGAACCAGGGCTGTGTCTTCTGAGAAGTTGGTGGCTCCGCCACAGCCTTGGAAGAGGAAGGATTGATTCCACACGGGCTGCTCTGGGGGTCCCCCGGGCTTGGTCAGCTGGAAGGAGAGAGTTGGAGCAAGTGCTGGGGCCACAACTTCTTCCACATCGAGGGATGTCCAGATACTTGGTTGTGTGTGTGTGTCTATATATGTCACAGTTTGTCCCAATTATAAAAGCAATGCACACTTATTGAGTACGTTTTGGAGAATACAGAAAGATAGAAGAAAAAAAAATCTGTACTCCTACCACTAAAGACAACTGTTCATAAGACTCTGTGTTTCTAGCTTTTTTTCCCCTGTGCCTGTTATTTAATAGAATCATCCATCCTAGCCTGCCTTTTTTGTTAACCATTAAAACCTCAACA